AAGTCTAGGTAGAAGCCTCCCTGCACAACTCTTGCATTTTGCATGCCTGTAAAACATGAATGACATCAAAGTCTGCTTTCAGTTCGAGCAATATTAAGGCCCCCTTGGAATATGACTACAGAGGCCTCTGAATGTCCAAATAGCTGAGAAATGTGAAATAAGGTGCAGTGAACCAGTTCTCTAGGAAGGCCTTCTGAACCAGGGCTCCCTGGGGCTCTCGTCTCAAAACAAAGGTTTTCAAGTTTACAGTTACTGTTTTACACTCTTAAGCCAATGAAAGGTAGAGTCTTGCTGATTCCCAAGATGCTCTCAAGGTATCTTTCCTATTGTCCAGATGCAAAGTACTTGGCTTCTTTTTAATGCTAATCTTTTCAGCAACCATGCTCTCCTTTCCCCCAACTTTGACGGTGTTTACTTTCTGGGGAAACTGCAAACTTTTAAAATTATTGAACTCTGTAATTTGCTCCTGATTCTCACTATAGATCTTGCTAAAAGCAGCAAGCAGTAGTACTCATGCTACAACCTAAACACTGGGCTGCCTTGAAATTTCCTCCACCAAATTCATTAGCCCATAACACTTAATTAAAGTCTCCCTCAAAGTCTCAGGACATGGGGAAAATGTAGACAAATTTTCTCCCAAAACATAACATACATGCCCTCTACCTCAACTGCCAATGAAGTACTTATTCCTAACTGAAACCTCCTGAGCCTAGTCATTACTGTCTGTGTTTTTATCACTGTTCTGGTCTTCTTAGCTCTGACCAGAATCTCCCATTAAGCTGAGTTTATAGCATTCTAGGCCTGTGTGCCGTATCTCCATATTTTCCAAACTCCTCCTGCAAACCAACTCCAAAGGCTACTGAACCACATGGTCAGGTATGTGACCATGACCCCATTCTCAGTATCAAAATCTTTCTCAGTCATTTTCTCATTGCTGAGACACAATATTCAACACCCACAATTAAAAGGAGGAAAAGTTTATTTTGACTCACAGTTTGTAAAGTTTTGGTGTGTAATTGGTCAGCTCCTAGGCACAACAGCATAGTGGAAAGGCCTGAGCAGAGAGAAGCTGCTCACCTTATGGAATCTCCAGAGTAGACAGAAACAAGGGTGGAGCCAGAAAGGGAGATGTATCCTTCTAGGTCATGCCCACAGTGACCTGCTACTTCCAATCAGACCCTACTTCTTAACACCAACCCAGCCATAATGCTCCCATAACCAATCACCTTCCACAAGCCCCACCTTTGAGGATATGAGGCTTTGTGGGGTACATCCAGATGTAAACCATAACAAGTGGTGATTACCTTTTGGCTTCTATATCTGCGCTCCCCGCCCCCCCCCCCCCCCCCCCCCGCAAGAATTTGGGAAAGAGTAAAAGATGGTAGGTGAATAGAGGGCAACTACAAGGGTAACAATTAGAGAAAAGCCACGAAAAGGTATCATTGGCTTCATAGCCAAAGTGCAGCACCTGGGGGCACCTCTGCCCAGGGGTGATTCAGAGCTTGGATTCAGAGCCTCACACTCTCAGCTGTTCCCAATAGTCTTCCACATGCGTGCTGTTACTCATCTTGATGATCTTTCCAGGAAAGGTGTGGTGCTAGCTCAGTTGCCATGTCCAGAGCAGCCTATACACTTTGTATGTATTTTATCATAAAGTATTCGATGTATAAAATAAAAATATGTGTATTATTTATAGGGATTTTCAAACCCAGTAACAAAGCAAAAACCTCAGTATCACACACACACGCCTTATAAAAATAAATATTGTCTACTTTTGTGATGCTTCCTGTGGGTTCCTGTCTACCCCTTCTGCTTCCTCCTCAGGGGAGGTGACCCCTATCTTGATGGTATTTGTCATCTCCCTCCCTTTTAAAGAAATGCTTACCACCTATTTGTGTATCTCTAAGTAGCCTGTTTTGAGCTTTATAAAAATATGGAATTATAGCCTTTTGAGCTTATTGAAATGCCACACATTGTCCTGGAAGATGAAAAGTAGATCTATACCCTTGAAACTTGGATTTCTTTGACATAGATAAGTGCTATTTTCTCTGGTGGCACCTATCTGGAGTCAGGGCAGGGCCGTCTGTCTGCACAGATTGCTGCCTGCAGCTCTGCAGGGGAAAGGATGCAGCCCCATCAAGGAAGCTGAGTACAGTGCTTTGATCTGCAGGGCTCCTGGTTAACACAGGGCCGCCCAGAGACTAGGGGTCTGGGCTTCAAGGAGGCAGGTAGACTGGTTTCTGACTCCAGAAAGATGTCAGACAGACAGGGAGGGTGAGAGGCAGAGCACTGAATGTACAGCTGTAATTGGGAACTCAGAGTGGATATGGGTGAAGGGTGAGGCAGGATAGACACTGGAAAACAGCTCAAGCACCTGCATTCCTGTACAGGTGGGTTGGGAAGCTCCTGGTGAGCAGAACGGAAGTTTATTATGTGCCAGGGTCATCTGTGTGTCATTTCCTGTCAAGGATAAGATGATGACTAAGACTTTTCCTGCTGTAAAGTACTTCAGGTCTAGTAGGAATTCAGCTGTTTGTTCATTAGCTTTTGCTCAGTCATGCTGTAGTAACATATGATCGCCAAACATACACAGCTTACAACAGTGAGTTGCTTCCTTGTTTGCCCTGAGTGCTAGCTGTGGGACAGCTTCAGTTCTGTTCTGTGTCCTCAGCCTCCTGGATCCCAGGCACAAGGAGCAGCCTGTGTCTGGCCCATGTTATTTTTGCAAAAGGAGAAGGGAACAAGTGAAGTGTTGTAGCCAGGCGTTCGTTCTTGAAATGTCTGCACAAACCTGGCTTCCTCATTGCTCCTGCTAACCTGCCCATGGGAACAAGTCCTGTGGCTGGGCTGGTGTCAGGAGGAGGGAAGCTGAGTGTCCTTAGGCAGGTGCTGCACTGCAGGATGCAGAGCAGGGGGCTTCAGAGTGCTTCAGGGTGCTTCAGGGAGGGCAGAGATTACTTGGGAAAAGTATTACAGTCTATCACAGATATAAGCAGGCAATTTCAGCAATAGTATGATAAAGCTTTATTATAAATAACTATAATGATTTCAACTTTATAAAATAAGTTTACACGTAAATGTATATTTTCCCTCACTAAATTAGCTTCACAGGCTCTTTTGAGAAAACAGTGTAAAAACCACTGGTCCAAAACTGAGGCTTGTTGCAGAAAACTAATGAGAGGAGGACAGAGGAGAGGTAGCCAAAAATGGCCACAGAGGTCTGTAGACCACAGTGTTGTCTACAGACAACAGATACTGTGCTATTTAACAATGGTCTTCTTCTAGTTACTCACCTGCCTCCTGTAACATTCCTCTTGGCTTACTGTCAGCCCATTTGGGTTGTCTGTAGGCACATTGCATCCCTGTGCTCTGTCCCTACACACTCGTGTACCCCACCTGACCGCATCATCACTTCCACATGCCTTCCTTCTTAATCATTAAGTCAGTTGATGGTTGATACCTGGCCATGGCTTCTTTGCATGTGCCCTGTAACTCTTCCTATCTCCCAGTGCATATCCTAGGGGTTTCACACAGTTCTCCAAAAAGGACTTTAGCCTCATGAGGAATCCATAGGCTTGCTCTGGCACTCTTTTCCTGCAAGGGTAGCCAGCAACTGGATGGGTGACAGCTGGAGATATGCAATGTGACTCCAGTATATTGAAACCTGGATTTAAAGAACTCTCTGCCTTGCTTTGCAGTGTTTGGGGCCTGAATAGCATGTCCTCACACAGTGAGCCAGTATTCACCTGCCCTCATGTGCGTTGCCTTGCAAATACTAGTAGTCTTTTTTCAAAGGTATGCATTTGTGTTTTCCAAGGGCAAGGACTGTATCTCCTCTCTTCTTTCTTTTAAGTGTTTCCCCATGGCACCTGATAAGAGACACACATAGAGTAGAGTGAGTACTCAGTAAATTTTGACTATCTCTTTTCCTTTGACTATCCATCAGGTATCCACATGGTGCTGGGCTGGGGGCCTTTGCAAAGGATAGATTATACACAAGCTTTGATCCTAAGAATTTTACAAGCAAAAAGAGAATAAAGTCTCAGACAACTCAGATCTAGACCAATACCAAAGGTGCATAATTAGCCACACACAATATAGTATGGACTGTTGGTGCTCCAGAGGCCCTTCCGCATGGCAGAAAGTAAGCTAGGACCCTTATGAGCTCAGCCTTGGAGTCAGACATGGGCTTGAATGAGCAGTGTAATTTTTCACAAGTAATTTAACCTCTGTGAGTCCCAATTCCATCTTCCATATATGGGAATAATAAAAAAGCTGGTAACTTGTGTGGTCGATTGCACTTGTAAATACACTGCTTCTCTCCTGTTTGTGACTTGAGTCTGTTTAGACTTCAGAGTAAAGAGAAGAAAGCAACTGAAGTATTCGTGTTGTTGCTGTTAAAGGGTGACAGGAGGTTATAGCATATGGGCTTCCTAGGCTAGTTACATAGCCACAAGCATCCTCCAGCCAGAAAGGACCAGGCAAACATAGTTTTGGGTGCAAAAATATTCACCCAAGGAGAAGAGGCAGAGCCAAGATACACCATCTACATTTATAGAAAGACAAGCAATTGTTTTCCTCTTCCTTAGGAAGAGGACATGACCAGGCTGCTTAGGACTGTTTTATAAAATGAGTTGCTTTTATGTGGGAAGAAATGAGGGGAAGAAGCCTTCAGCAGTCCAGGGTGTGTAGTCATTGACCATATAGGACTTCACAGTTGTTAAATTTCATATTAATAATCTTATTTTATAAATAGTAACAGTTGAGTTTACAGTATGCCTTCTGGTACTTCTGCAGTGTTTTGGAAATTGTTTGGCACATTTGGAAAAACATGCCAGTCCATGTGTTATGTAGTATTCTGTAATTGAGACCTTTGACTGAGATGGACTTTTCCCTTTTTTGTGTTTGCTCCTGTGGATCAAAGGCACTGCCTGTCTCCTAGGAAGCTAAGCAAGGGTCTTTTGTGGCTGTATTCTTACCGGCTATTTTCTCTGTTGCAGTGCAAGTTGGAGTACCATGCTTGTTCTACTGGCAAAAGCCTCACCACTCTCTGTGACGGGCCCTGTCCTTGTATCCCGGAACCTGAGCCACCAAAACACAAGGCAGAAAAGAACGGTGAGTGGGGCTCTTAGAAGACACCCTTGAAGGGAATGTTATGGTCAGGGCAGGCTGGTGTGTCAAGCTTTGTCCCAGATGCCAGGAACTTGGCAATCAACAGAGCAGTTCAGGCTTATGCTGGGGAAATGGGCTGACTTGGCAAGCAAGTTCTCTGGTTGTTTTTGGGTCCTAAACTCTCTTGAAGAGAGAAAGAAGAGCTGAGAGTCTTTGAAAATAACTCTGTTAGCCCACGCTATGCTCTATGATCTCTTAGAAGTCAAATTGGCTATGGTGTGGGAGGGACAGGATTTTCAGCATTTTAAGACCAGACCCTGCCCCTGGGTTATATCTTGGTCTTCCTTGAACTCAATCTCTCAGATCCTTTGAACTTTTCCAGGCCAAATACTAAAACAGAGAATGCAGAGATATCACAACTGGAGAGGATTCTCCCTTAAAACATTGCTTTATTAATATACAGTGCTTGAAGTGCAGCACAGAGCCCAGAGACAGTTGAAAGAGAGTACCTCCCTGGGGCCTGCGCTTTCTCCTCCAGGGCTGGGAGGGGCAGGAAAGCTTGCACTTCTTTGACTATTTTCACATGGAGAAAGGAATGTTGTTCCACTGGCCTCAGCCCTTTCCTAAATCTTCTGTAATGAAACCCAAGGTGAAGTTTGAATTTGCCTTCTGTGGAACTGGGCTTTCTCAGTCGTGTGACAAGCTATTCCATGGAGAGTGCTGTGTGCTTATTTGTGTGAGTGTGTGTGTGTGTGTGTGTGTGTGTGTTTGTGTGTGTATACTCCTGTCTTCTAATGCTAGCAGCCATTTGTGGTGGAGGAGAGAAAACAGAATGAGAGATTATTCATTTCCATTATTATAGGCAATGTTGTTTTTTTCAAGGTAAAAGATGAAGACTTCAAATGGTTTGTTCATGATAAGGAGTATTGTGTATTGTGTAGTAAGGAGTATTGTAGACTTTGGGAGGTTTTACTCAGAATGTGGAAAGACAAAGTAAATCATAAAGCACTATAGTCACAAATCATCGCCAAAGGTTATTACTGATTCCAAAAAACTGATTGCATTGCCTTTGGACATGACTCATTGATATGGTTGGAGTAAGAATAATTAATACACATAATCCTCCTTGTAATGTAGTCTGGTCAGAAAATCTAGAGCCATGTAGTGTTAAGTAACTCCATAGTCTAGAAAATTAACTAACATCTGGAAAATTTTTAGAGTCTTCTTGGGAAGTTCCAGTAGCATTTATTATTTCAGGTATATTGTTTCTTGCCTTTATTCAATCTATTCTGGGGCTAGGGAATGAAATCAAGAAAATCATTTCTGCTATTTGCCTGTATTATCTACAGATGAGAGTGAATATAGTTCCCCTCAAGGGCCTCCACACTTGTTAAGGGTTCCCACTTGCTACAGTTATTCTGGGGAGCTTTTTGCTTCTCCAGATGAAGGACAGCCCTTGTTTTAAAATGGTGGTCTTTATACATGACTAAATGAGGCTGTCTCTCAAATATGACACTCTGAGAATGGCCCTGACTGTATTTTTTTATTTGTACAATTATTCACTGGTAAAAATTCAAGCACATACTTACTGAACCTAGGTAAGTAAACACACTGCCATTAAACATAAAGAGACTAAAAATGTTTTGCTCCTAAATTCTGAAACATCATTGAAAACAGGATTGCCATTTAAATGTTTCAAAACATTTGCAATAGTGTAGACTACCAAGTTAATTGTGAGATATCAGAAGAATGAAAAAGTATCATACCACATAAGACATAAAAAACATAATACCAACAACATTCTAAAACACCCAAAATTGTATTTTCTCATCAGTTCCTTCAGTGCTACAGATTCATTTTTTATTCCACCAAATCTTGGGCCAACAGTTTTGCTTTCAAAAAGTTGTCTACCTCTGAACTAAAAATGATTTCAGAAATCCTTGCTTAGTCCTTTAAACAAGTTGGAAATTGTCTAAGAAAATTCATGTCGTAAGCACCACCAATGAGTCTGTTGCCTGAAGTGTCAGTAACTCACACTCTGTGAAAGTTTTTTCCATGAAATCCTGAGAATGACCTTTTTTGTTCAAAATTTAATTTCTAGGCTGTGACTTAGGACAGCATTTTTGTGTAAGCTTGAGGAGAAGCAGAAACTACTTAGTGAGGGTAAGAATGGGTAGCTGTAATTAATCTATTATAGCATCTCACAGTATCCTAATGGAGGAGAGTATAATCCCTGATTAGGGTATAATGTTCAACTATTTAACATGGATTTGATCAGTGTTTCCCTGGAGGATAAGAAAATGTTCTGGGCAATGAAGGCTTTGACGATTCCCCAGGGTGATCATGTGAAATGAATCATTTAAATTAATAATATTTTACTTCAACAAATTTGATCAAGGGAAGGTTAACCTTTTTCTGTGATTTGATAGTTCTTTCCCTATAGCTCATGAGGGCTGGACTGAGCCTATGACGATTGGAATAAAGAGAAGGGAACAGATCCAAGGGAGAGCTCAGAAGTGAAATGAAAGGCACCTTTCAGTTGACAGCTTAGCTGTAGGTGGAGGGGAGGGAGGGAGGGAGGAAGAAGAGTTGAGCTGAAGCTCACCTTCCTTACCTGTCAGTAATCCTTTCTGGAACCTCTTCCAGGCCAGTCTGGGCAACTTCATGAGACCCTGTCTCAAAATAAAAGGGACAGTGGGTGTAACCCAGTGCTCCCTGGGTTCAATCTCCAGTACTGGCAAAAAAAAAAAATAGTGGCAATGTTAGTATTAGTTTTGTTGCTGGTATTTTATTTTCAACATTATTTTGGTTTTGGACCCCAGTTTCATCTGGTGACGAAAATGTTCACAGAGTCACTTTCAGATAAATTCTGTGAAGTCAGAGCTATATCTAAACTCTAGGGAAGTAGGGGTGATATGTGGGGTTCTGAGCTGCAGGGCCAGTGGGAGGCAGTTCTTGGTCGTGGCTGTCGTTCTTTGACATCCATCCACATCTATGGAGGTCTTGCCTTCTGCAGTTAGTTGGTATCTTAGTTACTTTCTCATTGCTGGGACAAAATACCCAAAACCCACAAGTTAATTGAGGAAAAATTTACAGTATTTCAGGTCACAGTTTCTAGAGGTTTCAGTCCATAAGCTGGTTCCAAGACAGTGTAGCATGGCAGAGGGGCATCACAGAGGAGAAACAGTCCATGGGAGGGTAGGCAGAAAGGAACAAGCTTTCTTTCTTTCTGTTCTTTTATATTCCTTCCAGGCTACAAAACTATTGATTGGTGCCACCTACACCCAGGGTAGGGCTTCCATTATCCACACCCAGACTATGCTAAACCTGCTTAGTTATCACACACTTTAATTCAGCATCACATACCCATGATCTAACCACCTCCCCAAAGCCCCACCTCCTTTGAGTGCATGAGGCTTTGAGGGAACATTTTAGATAGCAAGTACTAACAGTCGGCTACTGATGTTTATCCTTACCATGTCCAGTGAGAATATTTGAGATGCCATCTATGACCTCTATGTACCATGTCTCTTAAGGTTATGTGAAGTCCTTTTTCATTTACATCAGACCCTTCTGGGTTTACCTCCTCTCTTACAGCCCCATGTGGCTGTGTTCAGGGACACAGAAAACTTGAGGATGCTCTTCTAAGATTTTATGGCATCAAAAAGGTTGTGATGAAGTTGGAATCTCAAGTCTTCTCTGCACTGATCTGCATGCAGCTGTTTCTGTTCCACACAAAGGTCATTTTGAAGCTTACCTCAAACGGGCTTTCATATTGGTAGCAAAACACAGGTCCTCTTTACTGCAGAGGCTTACCTCTCCTCATGGTTTTCAGGATTGTCTCCTTTCAACCTAGGACCAGAATTGGGGCAGAGGAAGGCAGAACCTTTCTGGGGAGCTTGCCTGTCTCTGCCTGTTCCTTTCCTTCCAGAGTCACACTTCATGCAGAGGCTCTGATGTCGGTCAGCACTGAATAAGAGGATGCAAGGTGTGTGAGGGCCTAACTCTCACTTTATTTCAGAATGTTCTGCTTTCTTCTGGCTGTTGGTCTTTGAGTTAAAACATGCCCAGCTCTTGCAAATGAGAAGCCTCTCGTATGTGCTTTAAGTCTCCACAGCATTTTTTGAAAGCCAAAACTAAATGGTTGATTTTTTTGTCCTCTTTATCTGGCATCTTTCCTTTGATGTGTCCCCTGAAGATCTGACAGAAGGTGAGTTTATCCTTTAACACTTGTGAGTGTTTCCTATTATACCTCTCAAGTATCTCATGACCTTGGGCAAGTTACGTAATTGTCTTACCTCTCTGATCTTATAAAGCCAATCCAGCCCCCAAAACATAAAGTAATGATTATCCAAGACACAAAACAAAACAAAACAAAAAACAAAGTTAAAAAGAGGGAGTTGAGGGACTGGAGAGGTAGCTCAGTGGTAGATCATGTGTGTAAGGTCCTAAGTTTGATCTACTGCATCAGAAAAGAAAAAGGTAGATCAAATGGAAATGTATGTATTAAGTCTGAGTTCTATACATGTTTCTGGGTTTTTCAGAAAAGATCTTTCCCAGTCTCACTAGTATTTCTCAGCCTTGACAGGGCATTCAGGCAGTCACTTTTTAGATGGAATCTTACTTCTAAATTCCAAGGTATTGCTGTTGCTTTTCCTTCATTTCTCAGCCGAAAGTATGAAGAAGGTCTGAGATAGGTTTCTGTTATTGTTGTTATTCTTATTGTTGTTTTCTATTCTTTACAGTGGTGGAAAACTCTAAGGAGAAAATAGAGGCTCTTAAAATGAGAGGCTTTAAGGTACATTTTTCAACTAGCCAATGCTCCTTTTCTAAGCTCAAGCATTTTCCCACCTTGCCACACTTCCCCTTTTTCAAGAGACAAACCTTCCCTCTTGGCCTGAGCTTGGCAGCCTCATTGCTGACATCATTAATGTAAAGAGAGGTTTGGAGCTTCCTCAGACTCAAGAGAGAACTCTGTAGAGTGGGAGGACTCTGCTAAACAA